TCCTTTTGTAGTTCTAAATCCAGACATGCCAATCTCCCCACTGCCCTGACACCTACCCCTCTCCGAGGCCTCGGTCTACCCACAGAAGACAAACAATGTTCCACCCCATTTCCTACCCCACACAATCCTCTACCCCTTGTAGATGCCTATCTCCTCTTCTCCCTCTCATAAGAAAGAGTGAGTGAGAGAGTGAGAGTGAGAGTGGGAGTAAGAGAGAGAGAGTATAGGTAGAGAGTGAGTGAGTGAGTGAGTGAGTGAGTGAGTGAGAGAGTGAATGAGTGAGTGAGTGAGTGAGTGAGTGAATGAGTGAGTGAGTGAGTGAGTGAGTGAGTGAGTGAGTGAGTGAGTGAGTGAGTGAGTGAGTGAGTGAGTGAGTGAGTGAGTGAGTGAGTGAGTGAGTGAGTGAGTGAGTGAGTGAGTGTGCGTGCGTGTAACAAACACAAACAAACACAGACACGCACATGCACACACACATATGCCATGCTGTGCTGTTTAGTGGTCAGATGCAAATCAGATTCTACTACCACATTATAAAGATTACTAAAAGGAGAAAATAATGTGGAATCTTGCCTAAAACTGGTATGACTTGCCAACAAGACATGATAACCACAATGAGATCTTTAAAGGGACATGAACATAAAGCCTGTTACACCAAACCAAAATGTAGAAAAATATTCTTTCTTACTCTTTAACCAAGAGGAGGAAACCATTGATGCATGAATAGAATAACTGCTCCTCTGTCCAGAGTAGTTTTCTACTGTCGTTGGTCCCTTGAGACCCTTCTGTATCGCACCACTTCATTCCCCACACACCTGAACTGCAGAAGCTCAAAGTGGCAACACCTTACTTATTTTGACTTTGTAAATATATATATACACACATAAACATGGAATTTATTTTGTATTTAGCCATCCATATTCTGGTGTGCTAGTATGGTACCTAAATCATATAGAGGTGTGGCAGATTCCTCAGCAATGTGACACCATCGACATCGGTCCATATTGAGAAGCCAAATCAGGAAGGAATGAAGGAACTGCAGTACTTTGTCCAGATACGTTTCTACCTAGTATATTTTTAAATATATTGATGGTACAGTTTCAACTACATAGTGGCTTTGTGCTCTACAAGTGGCTTTCTGTAGAGAGCAACTAAGGAAATATTCTGACCAATATTTTAGATTTTAAATGGAAATAGCATTTTGACAGTTGAATGCTAACTGAATCATTAGACGGCTACCAAGACTGGCAGTCAAACGATGTTTCTCACAGAGTGAGTTGTATCACAGAGTAGTACTGATGTTACATAAATAGTTCCATTAGGTCAAGTAATCATTTCTACATACAATGTCTTACTAGAGGAAGTCCTAAGGCATCACTTTGTTACAAGATTAACAATGTTAACAAGGAATATCTATATTCTATAACAAAATATACACAACCAAAATTGTCAGTATTTCTAAGGTCAGTGACCTTCCATTTAATCTTTTTTTTTTAATTCTTTTTTTTTTAATATGGAAGTCAGGCTTCAGTCAGTACAGCAACTACAACTTTAAGACATTCCTAACTAAGTTTTTCAAAAATCTCAATGTAGTACAATAGCCTATTTCTATGTGTCTCAGTTATCAGGCTGCCAAGATTGATTATCCACTTGTAAATCGCTGGACAGGAATTCCATGCTTCAAGGCAATTTTTATGCGTCCAGTTGGCCCTCCAGATATTTCTGTGAGGCTGTGGTATCAAAAGCTTCTGTTCTGATTTGTCCAATATGGGACCTTCCAGATCTATGTTACTCTTGGAATGGATTTTGGAATTAGAGCTCTTATTATTATTCTTGTTGTGACTATCTTTGCTTTCCAACAGAGTCTGAGGCTGCAGAATGAGGTTGGAGCCACACTTTGACAGTTTTGCCTGGACATTTTTCAGATCAGCTGCCCAGTTTATCTTCTGAGTCTTGAAAGTCTTCCTCTGCAATCTCCTGCCAATCTGACATGCAAAAGAAGAGTTAGTATCATAAATAACATGGAAGAGCAACAGTGGTAACAAGGAAAGTCAATACACAGCCAAAGACTTTTAGGATAACTGTACATATTTCAAGAAAAACATATAAAAGAATGGAGCGTGAGAGAGAATGGAGTGAGATAGAAAAAGAGCAGCATACAGACACACAGAGAAAGAGAAAAGCATGCTGAGATAAAGAGAAAGAGAGAGACTATACAATGCAATGTTCTTACCTTAACTAACTGCTGAATGGATTTATCTTTGTCATCCTTAAACTTCACCAAGAAATGGCTCACAATATCCATAAGAGGACTCCTAGACATTCTTAAAACAGTGTCCTCATCTACCATATCTTCCAAGGGCTTTCCCTGGAAGTCTAAAAACTTCTCTACTATCTTGTAAGCAGCCTCACTATGCCCTGAAGAAAGAAAATAAAAAGTACGTACATAACTCAAAAAAAACATTGTGATTATAAAGTATCATTGCTATTGACGGATAAATTATTAATCGCAAAATGATATATCATAATATATCGTAAAATAATATATATCTAACTAAACAAAGTTTTTTTTTACCATAGTTTGTAATAGTCTTTGGTGTTCTCCAAATCCCTTCTTCCCAATAAAACTGAGAAAGAATTTTGGCATTGACTCCTCCAGTGCCAAATGACTTGAAATGGTGTGCAAATACTGCATTCACTTGGCTACAAAACCACACCAGAGAATTCATGTGCCTGAAATTGGATTCAAATTAAACAAACTCAAGTTTTCACACTGATTTATGACGCTCTATGATTTTATTTATTATGACACACTGGAAAGGCAAACTTAACAGCTTCCATAAATTCTGCACTTCTACCAAAGAAAGAGCAAAATGGAAAGAGTATATTGCCTAAGGCTGAACCTAGGAAGTATCTATCATATATAAAGGCATAAATATTCATCATAACAGATTGTGACCAGTACAATGTGACAGTCATTACATATCCCTTTTGTACTGTTAAAGTATGCCAAGGAGCCACCAGTATCATAGCTGTGAGTTCAGTGGGTAAAACTTTTTTTCTTAAGATTCTCACCCCCTATCTTTCTGTCTGGAAAAGTTTGTGCAAAAGTATCACACGGACATTTTGAATATTACAAGGTAAGAAAATATTCCATGTGAAATGTCACAGGCAATTCTAGTGTGTTGCCTTTTTTTTTCATAACAAAAGTCAGAAAATAAATGGAGTTGGAGTTGTTGAAATAAGCAAGGAATCTAGTCCTATACCTGATTAAGATTAAATATTCATGAATATACTAAAGATAAGTAAGTATACAGTCTGTATAGCATATGATAGGAATATCTTCCCTAGACTTAAAATCAAGTCTTATTTTCTTACTTTGTGTTTAAGGAGTTAGGCGAGAGTCTAATGATGAGAAAAAAAATAATGAATCATTAAATTATCAAATTACTTTTACTCTCTTCCAAAGAAATAATCAAATCAATAAACTCTTATCAATTACATGCCGCTAGGGAAAATGCTGTGCTTATTTAACCCAATGGTGACAGGTGAAGAAAAGAAAAAGAAAAAGAAAAAGAAAAAGAAAAATGTAAAAGAAAAAGAAAAAGAAAGAAAGAAAGAAAGAAAGAAAGAAAGAAAGAAAGAAAAGAAAAAAAAATCTACGCTCTGGCGAACCATGGCAGCGCACCAACTTTGAGCGCGTACAGCCACAAGTCACTTTTCGAGTGGTTTATTTTCACGGACTAGCGGCGTCACCCGTCATGAAGGGGTTAAAGAAAAAAAATGTGTGTAATGTCTCTGCACATAGATTGCTCTCCTAGTGCTTAGCCACAAAGGAGTCAATTAGTAGACCTTGTGACCTTACCTGATTTCACCATTCCTTGAACTGGCAAGAAAAACATATCTTTTTACTAATGCTATGAATATCGATGTTATTTCTATAATAGATACTATAACTACTATAATGTCATACACATTTGTAAGAGCAAAATAAGATAACGTAAAATATTTTTGTAAGGAAAAGGGTAAAACAGGCGAGACAAGCAGTACTCGTAATTGGCTTATTGGTGACTTAGTATAAATGCAGCCATCTATGTGTAAAAATAATTAATAAAGTAATCTCACAGTCAGCTTTGAGTTAACTAACAAGACTGATTACTCCATGACAATAATGAATTACCTTTCCCACTCCTCCCAGGAAAAGAGCTGTGTCCAGGCGGGTTTGTCCTTATGGCGTTCATTCATAATCTTCGCTGCTTGCGAGAGCCTTACTTCTTGAAAGCCATCAAGGCCACAGCACAGTTTCACGATGGAAATAACAGAAGCCATGGCAATCGCTTCCAAGTCGGGGACACGCAAGCAGAAACTGTGGTCGATTTTGCACTTGCCGTGATGTACCAGGTCTTTGGCCATGGAGCTCACAGCCTCTGCAAGATTGGGGCAGGATATAGCTATGACTCTATAAGGTTAAGCTGATGATGGTAAACAGAAGAGGTGGACCTTTCTTTATACTAGCTATTCTCTATACCAATTCTAATGAATGCATGACCAGAAATAGTAAATCAATCTCACTCTATGGTTCTACAACTATCTCTAATGATACACTGACATTGTGTAGGAAATTAATGAGTAAGATTTTCTCTCTCATAGATAAATTTTGGAATTAATTTTAGACAACAGTCACCAGGATTATTTTCACAAGCAGCTGCAAGAGGACTTTTTAGTGATGAAAAATCTATATTCTAACCAAGTAAGGAAGAAGTGTGTTGGTTGGGAGAGAGGAACTAATGATGAAAATATAAGACTAAAATTAATGGAACAGACAATTAAACTATTAGTGATAGGAGACATATCACTTCATGAAGAATAATCACAGATGCTGGGTGATGCCACATCGCATCAGGTCTATATCCCAATCACTGTGATGATGTCTTACATGCACAACCAAAAGCTGGACAACTGTCTAGGCATTTAGCAACACACACTAATAAATGCCCTTACTC